GTTAAGTAAATCCAACATTTCATTTTTAGAGTGCATTATCAGTTTTGAATGAAAAATTGATTTTGAATAGAATCGTGGCCCCAAAATTCAGAATCAAATCAATTGTTGGATTTACTTAACTAAGTAATGTCAACAATTTCCACTTAAGTTGAGTAAGTCCAACGTAACTTTCACAGTTTATTTCAGTGTAATTGTGCAAGTTGCTTTAGATATACTCAACTCAGTTAGTTTAGTGGAAATTGTTGACACAACTAGCTTAAGTAAACCCAACAATCAGTTTTTTGAGAGTAAGTGAGTAAAAGATTCCCACCCCTAATATCCATGTCCACCCAGTCTTTTGATCTTTTGTCAGCAAGATTTTTTACTATATCAATATTTCTTCTTTGTCAGTTTCAAAAAGAAAAATACTGTTTGTACAATTCGTAACTGTGTGACTCACAATTTTATCTACTTTTGGTATTTTTGCTGCAAGTCTTGGGCCAACATTTACAAAATAATTATTAAATCCATCCACAATTTCATTCTGGTCGTGAATTTCATTACCATCCTTTACAAAATACTGTGGAATGCCTGAATGTCTATAAGTGTAAAGCGCTTTGGGTTCCGGAGGGACTTGATAAAAGCGCTCTGTAAGTTCAGTCCATTTACCATTATACCATACTTCTGTTCATATGATGAAGCTCATACCCCTCAATACTAATATCATTCGCATTTCCATCATTAAGCCATGTTTCTGAGAGTGCTATTATATAAAAGTTTCTGTTTAATTGCTTTAAGTAATCTGTTATTTTAAATAAATTTGCATTTATACTTCTACTGTTAATATGAGTAATAGAAAGGTCATTTTTTATTCTTTTTATATTATTAAATTGCTCTTCATTATAGTAATCACAGTCATTGGTTACTGGAAAAAAAATTGTGTCAATCCGATCATCTAAATCGTATATTTTAAATTCAGTCTTCATATACATATTTTAGTATTTACATCCATTTTTTATGTTTTCTTAACTCCTTTTGTTCCAGGTTATTTCAGTCTTTTCAATTGTTAATATGTCCTCTCCTGACTCAACCAGTGGCTCTTGGACGAACCCATCACCCTTAGGGTCTTCAGGTTCTTCTTTGACTGTACAAGTCTTTTTTCCATGGCACACATACAAAAAAAGAAAAAAAAGGAGAAAATMAGGTTCAGAAATGCAAGAAAAAAAGGTCTTTATACCAGTATAAACTTTCTTCAGGGTAGCTAAAACCTTTGCTGACTTACCACTGTTGATAACATTAACGCCATGCTACTGTTCTTCAGATCCATGAGCAGAAACTTTTCCAGTTTTCTGAATCAGCTGTGACAAAAACAGTGTCAAGAATCATATCTACAATTAAACAACAAAGAACAGAAAAATGAAGTTGAAACATTCTTAAAAAAAAGTAAAAAAAAAAAAAAGTAACAGAACATTAACAGACTATATCAGTATCTCTTCGATTAAAAACATTTCTTTGACAATAAAGCAATTATGTGAACTAAACAAAAGTAGAATAGTTAAAGAAAATTTGTGGAAAAAATGTTTTACTTACTCAGTAGAAAATAAACCGAAGTCACAAAACAGCTGGGTCTCTATTCTGAAGTTGAAGGCATTTCGCTTCCCATCCAGTTTTCTCAGTGGGCTGAATTGCCATTTGTCAGCTAAACGTCTTCAACTTCAGAATAGAGGTTCAGTTATTGTTGTTTTTATTATGACCCCCGCGCGCGAAGCGTAAGTGGGAGTCATATTGTTTTCGTACTGTTTATTATTTTTTTTCAGTGATTTTTGGTCAACCGTACCACAAAAACGGCTGCACCGGTCAACATCAAATTTGGCAGGACTGTAGATGAGGCTGACCTACACTGCGCCAGCCAAAATTTTTTTGATAGACCCGATATTTGAGGAGGGGTCTCTCGATTTACCGGTCGATCTACGTYCCTACCCTCATCTATGGTCATGAGCTTTGGGTCATGACCGAAAGAA